TCAGCTGCAGCTTTTTGTCGTAGTTTTTTTTCCAAAAGCAAACCCGGTCAGACCCGTGCAGCTTCCAGCCTCCTCTTCTCTGTGTGCTTTTAAACGAAGCCACACAACCATTACTTCCAGGTGTGGAAGTCCTGTCGACACCAGGACCAGCTCGTTTATCAGCTCACCTGCTTCAGTCGGCCAAAAGGCTGCAGGTAGCTGAGGACAAGCTGCTTCTGTTTGCTTTAAAGCCAGTTAGATGAGAAGAAACAGATTCTTTTCAGTTTACTTCAATAAATTTAATTAAAGAGTGCATCAAATGAGGATATAATTAATCATTTTGCTTGGTTAAGTTCCAAATTTACAAAAAAATAAATATTTTTTACACTTTCACGCAGAATGTTTGGAGCTGGAAACCTTACTGTCTTATTTTAGTGACCTTTTCTGAAAAATAAATGAATTTAAGCCAATTTGAGAAGTTAATTGTACTTTTAATTATTATTCCTGACTTCTTCACAGAGAGTCAGTTTAAATATTTTTTTTAATGTTAGGTTAAAAGAAAAATCTGACATATTAATAGTTGATAGAATATTGTGTAAAAGTTTTAATCGATTCTGTTAAAATAAATCTTCTAAGTAATCTGACTTATTTGCAACATTTGAAATATTTCTTGAGCAACACGTCTTTAACTTTGCTTCTGTTTGTTTTTGTTTTTGTGGGCTGATTTTATGACTTTTCTTATTTTGTGTTTAGTTCTCGATGAGAATTATTGCCTCATTTTGACATTTTAACCATTCAGTCATTAAAAATTGATTCCTAAMGTAGAGGGATAAACCAGTTTCAGGTTGGTTTAAAACAGATAATTTAGCAAAAAAAAAAAAATCTTCTTCAGATGCCTTAAAAACAGCAGCCTGTCACCAAGCACAGTTTATATTTATTTAGTTGAATCTATAGAACTGACTGAAGATACCACATTATTATAAAGTAGCGCCAACAAAGTGATTTAAAAGAGCTGTTGATGAATAACGAAAGGATGATGCATCACTTTTACTGGATTATTTCTTGTTTTTTAATGGCAGAGCTTATTGCTTTGCTGTTTTAGGTCTAGCACTTTTTATTTTTCCTTATTTTGTCTTCTTGGATATGTTAAGATAATACACTGTCATGATCAKGTAAAAAGGAGAGACCAAAAACAAAGGAAAATGCTTCTAATGTTCAACAAACAAACAAAATTAACCCCAAAGAATAACTGATYGAGACTTCTGTAGGAGATTACAAGAAGCTGTGACTTTTAGGGAGCAATTAGAGTGGGTTTAAAACTTTTACACAGTATTTCATGCACACTAATCTGATTCAGTTTTTACTCCAGTGGTTGGATTAGTTGTTTTGGCCTGGATCTTTGTAATAAACAGCTTGGTTGGTTTGAGAATGTTATACTATAAGTGTCAATAAAAAAGCAGCTGCAGGTTTTCAGCTCTTTGCTTCCTGGTGTGACCAGGCCTTTAAATAAAGTTCACTTCATTCACAGGTGAGCTCCTCCTTCCCAGSTTATCACATACAGGGAAACGTGTTTATCTACTGCAGTCAGCATGCGTCCTATAGTTTGTCTAWGAATAAATGTTTCTGTTTTTTGCGTTTCTTTTTCTTCTTTAAGTGTATTAAAACACATTTTGACTTTATTATCACCAGAGYGCAGAGCTGGGAGTCTAATCTGTACGACCGTCCTGTCCTTCAAACTGAAACTGTCCAACAACTTTTATTTTGAAGGGTCACACGGCAGCCAGCTGTTGTTGGAAGAAACAGGGTTCCTCCTTTTTTTTTTAAATGGACTTTTCTTTGTGTTCTTCAAAGGCTGAGATAAACATGCACGTGTTTTCATCTTGCATTTGGTTTCAAAGTTTTTGTTGAGGTCGTCAGTCTTTTTACAATACCACAGGGGAGGTCTGCTGGTCYTGAAGGAGCACCAAAGTCCGTTTCAGATTCACGTCCCAACCGTCGGCTCTCTCACTGCAGGGGAATTATTTACAACGACTGGAGGAACCGGTGCAGACAGGATGAGGAGCGAGTCGGTGCTCGGAGTCATACGAAGGGGGTCATGACCGTGGAGGAGTGGCGGAGTCCCTGGATGGCGGCGTAGGGCCCCTGCTGGAAGTAGTGGTGGTAGCGGGGCATGTGGAAGGACGGGAAGGACGGCCCGCTGCCCTGCATGGTTCCAGCCAGAGCGGTGGGAGTCAGCGGCATGCCTAACCTGCTGTAAGGGGGCAGCGAGCCCTGGATGGGGTGGGCTAAGGAGGCGGCGCCGGCGCCCATGGCCGACAGGGACTGAGGGTGCTGAAAGCCCGAGAACCCCGAGGTGGTGGTGACCCAGGAGCTCAGGGAGAGGTTGTCTGAGGCGGTAAACGCTGAACCTGCAGCAGAGAAAAGTTCAAATTTTAGTTTGAATCACTGGGCCTCATGCAAGAACTGTTCGTACGCACAGATTTGTTCTTAAGTTGTGCGTACGAGTGATTTAGGAGAATTT